GAGAGAGAGAGAGAGAGAGAGAGAGAGATATCAATCTCACTTGGTACAAACAGCAATCATTTTCTTGCACATCCATCAGGAGTTAAACTGCTGGACCACATAGCAAGCACATCTTCATTCAACTTCACTAGATAAAACCAAAATGTTTTCCAAAGTAGTTATATTAATTTGCATAACCATGAGCATGCCAGTCACAAGTATGCCAGTTACTCCACATCTTTACCAACATCTTATGACACCAGTCTTTTAGATTTTTTGCCAATCTGATATGAGTTGTGGTAGATGGTCTTCAGAAACAGCTTCCACCAATCCCTTCCTAGTTGTGTACAAATGACACTCCTCACAATAAGAAATAGAGTCTGTTTATCCTCCCTTGCATCTGAGTTAGACTGTGACTTCCTTTAAACAACCATAAGAAACAAAATATCAGTATGATTGTCCCAGCCCCAACCTAGAGAAGACTAGCAGCTTCAGCTTCCTCCCACTTGAAACCATTTTACAAGTCCAATTACATTGCTGCCACCACCATGATGAGGAAGCCAATACTAGGCACATAGAGACGCCATACAGAAACAGAGAGACCTAGTGATAATGGTGGCCCTGTCCTGTTTCTGGTATCCAAGGGAGGAATTTCAATGTTTCATCATTTATCTTTACCACATTTTCCCCCTTTAACATATTTTGGAATGAATGACATTAATGGAATTTTTAACATTAATCTCCCTTTGAATTATCACTTTTAATAACCTTGCTTAGTCACGATGTATTATATTTTGATGTTACTGAATTCAGCTTGCTAATATTTTGTTAGGAATTTTCATCTGTTTGTGAGTAAGACTAGTTTGTAATTTTCCTATCCTGTGCTGTCTTTGTCAAGTTTAAGCATTAGTCATACAAATTAAGTAGGGCCTATTTCTTTTAATGAAATGGTTTGTGCAAACTTGGGATTTTTTTCCCATTAATGTGCATTAAAAGTCACCAGCAAAACCATCTAGAGCTGGTATTTTCTAAATACTACTACTTACTACATTTCATCTAAACTTTTACATTGTTTGCAGTAAAATTCATAAAACTCATTTATTTTTTATATATCTTCTTTTTCATTCCTAATATTCTTTAATTTTTCTTTCTTGATGACTCTCAACAGAGGTAACAGCAAATTAAATAATGTAATCAAGGAGTCAATGGTGGCCATGTTGATCATACAATTATATTTTCACTTTCTATTTCATTAATTTCTGCTCTTATTTTTTATTATTTCCTTTCTTCTACTTTCTTTGAGTTTATTCTATTTTTGTTCCCTAACTTTTTAAGTTAGAAGCTTATCTCACCAATTTTCATTCTTTTTTTTTTTTTAACCTGAGATTCAACACCCAGGGGAGCTTAAACACCAAGCCACATTCCCAGCCGCCCCCCTGGCCCCGCCATCTTTTTTATATTTTATTTTAGAGACAGGGTCTTGCTGAGTTGCTTAGGACCTCTCTAAGTTGTTGAGGCTGGCTTTGAACTTGTTATCTTCCTGTCTCAGCCTCCCAAGATGCTGAGATTACAGGCTTGCATCATTGCACCTGGCTCCCTTTCTCATTCTTATATGAGACTTAAAGTACTATAAAGTACTCTGTCAGTATCATTTGAGCTTGATCCCAGTAATTCAATTTGTAGTACTGATATTATTATTCAATCCTAAATATTTTCTAATCTCATTATTTCCTCTTTAATCCATGAATAATTTACAAGTACTTTTCTTAATTTCTAAATACAAGGGTGTTTGCGGGGCGGGGGGGTCACTTCTTGCTTCTTGTTTTTTTTGTGGGGTTTTTTGGCATTTTATTGATTTTATTTTTTGAAATACACTACAGCAGAATGTATTACAATTCTTATTACACATATAGAGTGCAATTTTTCATATCTTTGTATATAGAGTATGTTTCATTCCTTGCTTTTTGGACAAAGAAAGTGATGTATTTAATACTAAACATTTGAAACGTGTTATGTTTTGCTTTATCAAATAATATATACTTAGACTTTTCTTTTTTTATATTGTGTGCTTGAAAAGAATTTGTATCCAACAAATGTTGGGTGTAATATTCTATAATGTACATCGCATTAGATAATACTTTAAATTGGGTAGGTTAAGTCCCCCACCTTTTGATGTTTAAAATCTGCTTTCATCTGTTGATTAAGTAATAGGATTCCTTAGAAGACTGAGTTCTACTATGTGGATGAACTTGTAGTACTGTTGATTCTTGTATCTCTAAGAATGGTTTCTTTGCCTGAGAACCTACTACAGTTTTTCTATGGCTAGTTTTCAAGTAGTGTGTCTTTTTTCATTTTCAATGTTATCTTTGACCCTCTGTTGAAGGTGTCTCCTGTAAATAGCAATACCCACATTTTTGTATTCGGCCTGACAAAATTAGGTGGAGGATTATCAATATATGTGATGTTAATTCAACCCAGCTTACCTTGTGCTTTCTATATGTACTATCATTTCTTTTTTTCTCATTTGTTTCTTGGTGTCAATGACTTTTTTCCTCATTCCATTTTTTTTGCAGATAATTTAAAAGTTCTGGCTTTATTTATATTTTTTACATTTATTTTACTTTATTTACTTCTTCAAGTACTTTTTTAGTTCTTGATGGGCCTTTATTTATTTATATGCGGTGCTGAAAATCAAACTCAGTACCTCACACATGCTAGGCAAGCACTCTTCCACTGAGCCACAGCCCCAGCCCTTACTTTATTTACTTCTAATCTTTAGCTCATTACTCTGGAAATTGTAACATTTGTATTTAAAACACTCTATCTTCTGAAGTCGATCTATTATGTTTATTTCTCAATAAAATTAGGCCCAAGGCATAAGTCCACTTACCACCCTCTTCCCACACAAATCATTATTGTCATGTATTTTTAGTTCTTTCCTATTTTTTTATTCATTATTACTTTTTGACATCCATGTTAGTTTAGATTTACCCACAAGGTTATCACTGTCTTCGCTTGTTATTCACTCTTATATCTCAGATATTCCATTAACAATCTCATTCTGCCTGAAATGCATCAACTATACAACTTATAAGGGATTAATAACCAGAAAATATAAGAAATTTTACAAACTTGATAGTAAAAAAATCCCTTAAAAAATGGGCAATAGATCTAAAGACATTTCTCAAAAGATGAC